TCCTTTAAACTATTACTAGCCATCGTGCCTATTTTATGCAAAGACCGTTTTGCTGTATCCTAACGCGGCACACTTGTTTATTGGCTAGAGTGTGGGCTGGGTGCCCACTTGCAGCGGACTTGATACGACTCAGGTCGACTCAGGTCAGGACCGATCGATCGATCGCTCGCGTTGGTGGGTTACGCAAGTGGAGCGCAATTGTTGTTATTTAATTCAGATTTTTTCCTCCGCTTTGAAGAACACTTCAGATAAAACATATGATTGCGATACCACAAGATTTCCTCTACACGTTCAGATGCTTTTCGCGCTTTCGGTGAAGTAATAGTGCAAAAATAGTTCATTTTGAGTGCTAGGCGCTATATAAAGCCTGTTTCAAAAAACGGTCACGTAATGTAGTAGCCGAAGATCTAGGCTTTTGAATGATTACTACCACTCTTATAAAAAGTTCTCGTCCAGCGAGAATGGTCGTTTCTTCGTACCGCGCCGTCTAACAAAGAGGAACTCGATATGATTTATGACAGTGACATTCGTATTGAGCATATAGCGCGTGTGGCACCGTGGTTGAAGGTGCTCTGTGACGCACCTGGTCGATTGGTCAATGATCGTTGATTCGATCTCGTGCTCAAAGTTCACCAAGACTCTCATCTCACCGGCTCGGTGAATTTGTACGAGGCTTGTCTGGAAGGACATCAGCACTGAGCTGATTCATCGGTGGGCCACCACAATTTTTCGTATTGGTCAGATATGCATCCAATCACCTGAAAGATGTGAATGCATGGCGCGCCTTTCACGGATAGATTAACCGCAGAACCTTATCCTTTGCAGCTTTATGTATAGCGTTCTTACATCAGTGAATAGCTGGCATTGCTCCGAAATAGCGACAGATTTCTTTAAACGTTGCAGAACTCAAAGAAGTTGTGTACAAATTTCAAGACGGTTCCGTGTGGCTGAGAAAATTTATCTCAGAAAAATTCGTCTTGAATAGTATGTATTTGTGTAGCTGAAGTTCACCTGTGATCCACCATACGAGCAGTCATCTCCATAGCAGGCTTTTTATGTAAAGTCATGACACCCAGTAAGGAGCAACTACAAAAATTTTTCTAGGTGATCCTTAATTGAAAGAGCGGCCAATGTGAGGTCTTTCATAAACTGTGAATCCCTTGTTTTGAGACTATGATATCACGTTGCTCGTTCGGAGGGGCCTTCGAAGTCTAGCAAGAGGGCATTGTCTGCCTTATCTTTATCTCCTTTTATCGCAAGCTGAACTTAGTACACGAAAATGAAGAAAAGAAATTGTCAAAGTATTACTTGTTCAAAGAGATATGTCTGAATGGGAAGTGACTTGAATGCAAACCCAATCAAACGATTTATGCTGTTGCCTCAATTTTCTCTCCGATCCGAAATCTGAATATAAGAAGCTGCCTCGAAGGTGAGTGATCAATTGCTAGAGGTGTTGCTAACGTAGGAATCGCTGGTGCCGTAAAAAGCTCAAGTGCGAGGCACAGACTTGAGTTTTTGTGAAGAAGAAATGAGAACGGTCTAACACTTGTGGCACAGAATTTGAAGGAAAACCCTCCTTGACCACCTATGATATTGCTAGAAAATTAGGGTAGAAGTGGGTCGGAAAAACAGTAACGCACTCACGCGCACCATGGAGATGGTGACAGTGTGATTACGATTACGTATATACAACCTCACGCCAGTTTCTTCATAAAGTAGCGCTCATGTTCCTCTATATATCAAACCGTCAAACTTCGAAAGGAAATGAAAACAAAAAGATTACTACTTAGCTGATGATTTTTCGAACCATTGTCGTATTCTTTAGATGAATTTCCATTGCTCAAAGTTGATAGCGCTAGTTTTTTGTCGCACACTCACGCTAACCGTGTTCATCCACGTAATACGTTGCCTTCGCCTTGATATCGTACTCTTTGAACATCTCCATCGGTAATTAGTATCATTAATTGCTACTCGACAACCTCGCCAATTAATGTTGCGAATTAGATAAGTTCTAAAGAGATCATGGGCGCTTGCCCACAGTGAAACTTCATATTTGGGAAACAAAAGTAAGAATTCAAAGTCAGATAAATCAACCATGGTACTGAAGTCAAAATAAAAATAGTCTTGTGGAGGTATTCTCGATAGCTCCTCTTATTGATTAACACTAATCAAGAAGAAAGGTCACCACAACTGGTTGTGGGATTCCCAAAGATGGTACCCTATACGAAGATCGATCACATCCTGGTGGAGGAAATATGGATCTATTTGACATCGGTGCACCTGCTCTTCTTGCATCCGGCCAGATTATCATATTACTCGTTCGAAGGCTCGTCGTCAACTGTGTGCTGGAGAATAAATACTGCATGAAAAGAAAAGAAAACAAGCCGTATTAAACGAATTCTTTCTCAGTCATCATATATCATTCAGAACTGAAACAAAAGCGATGATCTGGCAGAATCAACAGGATCGGTTGGAACGCTTTTGTACATGTGCTGAGAAACGTTTTCTGACTCTAAAAATATTTTCTGAGAGTTTCTTGAGCGAGAGTAAAGAATTTCTTAGAAAAGTCGTGATTTCAAAGACAGACAGATCTATTGTGTGGTCAACAATGCCATTTGCAGAAACACTTTGCAAGAAGTCCTTTTTGTTGCTTTTGCTTTTTTACTATTGACTCACGCGAATTCTAAATGTAGCGCAAGAAACGGAAAACAGATTGAAGTCCCATGTCAAAATCTTTTCAAGTATAGCATCTTGTTTCTACTTTCTCCACAGAGAATGGCCGAGGTAGAATTTCGTATCGTGGTATAGAGTCAAGAACAAAGAAATTCTACACAACTGAAGTGCCAGTATCGCATTATAATTTTTCGACGAGAAGAAATTTGCCAGTGCACGGTTTAGCATTAGTTCGCTCTGCATTTAGAAGCTTCTGGACCAAGAAATGTTTGAGTTGACCGTCCAAGCGGGATCTACTACTACCTACGTACATTATTTCGATCTGGTGATTTCAGATCTGCGATAAAAATAAACGCTCAACTAATGGAGGTTTCTTTGAACTAATAGAGATGAAAGACAACACTGTTTGTTCAGTGATAATCTCACTGGACATAAAGGGCAAAATGTTGGTCGTCGCCTGTCGAGAGGATTGGCTAGAGATGAAAAGGGTAACTGCGCGACTGATGGGAACGTCACCGTTGAGACACGTGTATGGGCTCTATAAGTGACCCCTTATATAACAGACCATATGCGTGGCTCAAAAAATGATCATCTGGCATAATGGAGGTTTTAACTACCTTGCTAACAATAGTGAAAGCAGTAGGAGTGAACATAGCAACTACCATTTGATCGGTAAATTTAGTATGCTGGATAACTATTTCGCAAGAATTTTTCAAAATAGACATCTAGAAGAACATGAATAAATCCCAAATTGTAGAACAAACACTAACTGACAAGTGACATAACTGTGTGACGTAAAAGTGTGCTAAAAATGTCACCTACTCTTCATCTTCTTTATCTAAATGCTCGCTGACTAAAAGCACTTGCTAGTGTGAAACTCGTGCTTTTTTCCAACTTAGTTTACGATGTTGTAAGCGCAATCATAAGCTGTAAATTGATTACGAACTATTTTTCACCTAATTTATTAGAGAAAAACGACAAGACATATATCGTGAAGGCTCTTCAGCGAGGTCCCCAGTAGTATAGGTGTTCTGAGGTGAATCCATCCAAGATTTCGCTCCAGCTGTGATATTGTGAAGTTTTAGAACAGCACAGCAGAAAGAGACAAGACCCACTTACCTTCCGATCGCCTGTGTTTGAGACTTCTCTTTTTAAACTTTATTATAGTCGTATAGAATCTTCGGGGTCTTTCAGAGGCCTAAATGGCACTTTGAGTGGTGAACGCACGTTTCAGCGTTCTCAAACGCCTCATTAGTACCACGTGGCTTTATGCTCACTCCTCTCGGTACTGATGAGGAGTGCGAGAACGCCGAAACGCACGTTTACCACTCAAAATTCCATAACGGACTTTTGAAAAGCTTTGAAAATTCTATCAGAATGCCCACATAATTCAATAAGGCAGGAAAAAAGTTGATAGACGAGTCAGCTCTAACAAAATTCGCTGTATGAACAACACTTGGAGCAGAAGTGAACAGATTATTGCAGAACAATGACCACTGAGAAAAATGTATTCTATGTGTGAAATGTTTAGTCAAAATTGTACTATGCAGCAGAAATGGGTATTGATATCTAGAAGACACTGAGAAGTTGAGTACAGTAGCAATTCCGCTATATCCTGTGATGAATTAGGCCAACTCTTGAAGTGTAGAGTCTTGAAGGATATCCTGCCCTCTAAACCTACCAGATAAGGTTTCAAGAAATGAAAAACGATAGGCAGATAACGTACTGGGAAAATGTGAACATAAAGGGATTTAAAATATATTCCAAAAAAATCGAAATGTCTTGGAAAAGGTCATTAAAAAATGGTCAAGTGTGTTCATTGCAAACTCACAACTACTATCTCCGCAAGTGGAATCAATATTTTAAAGTTCAACTCTCACAGCAAGCCACATCCGCATACCAAGACCTCCATGGATGACGGATACAAGATATAACATGCTGCAGAAAGTGCGGCAAACAATACGAATCATGAAGCTGAGCTATCTATATATTTGATCAAGAATCTAGAAAAAGCCACAAAAACTCGACCTCAGGAGGGAGTTCAACCCGTGTTTCACCCAAAACGGGGCGCGTGCTACCACTACACTACCGATGCACCGTTTGCTGATTGATTTTTGCTCAACACGCAATTCTCTTGAGCGCATTGGAAACATCATCACAATGCAAAAAAGCAGCAAAAACATTGGAAGTTTTGAGTGTTATAAATAACAGTGGGTGTCAGGTTAAGTGGGTTTATAAAACAATATTGCTAACCCGACCAAACCTTTAAAGGTTGGTGACTGATAGTTTTGATAGAGACAACGAAGAATGAGTGGTAGCGATACGGTGCCCCGGTAGTGCAGTGGTAGCAGACGCCCCTCATATGGGTGAAGTGCGGGTTCAACTCCCGCTTGAGGTCGGATTTTTGCTCACCACGCAGTTGTCTTAGGCGCATTCGCAACAATTTGCAGTTTTCGATAGTGGATTGAAGAGATCATGGAGGCTTTATCGAACGTACTGTCGACGTACAGTGCCTGGTACCTGAAGATTTCCTTAAACCAGCACTTCAACATCTGACGTAGCGATCAATCACAGTATTTCAGTAGAAAAAGCATTTATTAATAAATGAGTAGTAAGTAAAGGCTCATTAAACTGATCCATTGAAATCGTCGTTCTTCTGATCGGTTCACAGAAACGGAAAAAAAACGAAAAACAACTTAAGCGGTTTAAAATATGGTTTCAAATGCCATACGAAATGCCAAATACAAAAATGGTTCCACCGATCCTACGAACACTATAGCATTAGTACGATGTATTATGTGATACAATAGTAATACTTGTTCCCCTGCAAATGAAAGGCAAGTCCAATATTTGTGTGTAGCAAAATAAAGTTCGTCTTTTAAACCACTACTCTGTTGTCGCATTTTGTTGCCGCTTCCACAATGCACGTGAACTATACTTAAGCATTGTTACATACAGCAACTCGACGAGAACCATAGTCCATGACACTGATAAAGTAACATTCAATTTCTGATCAAGAACTTATCCTGTATGCTTGACATGCAGGCAAATCTGAATTCTCAACAGCTTTAGGTAATTTTCAGAAAACTAAATTGCCAAGGACATTGAGAACTTCGCAGATTTAGAGAAACGTTAGTTCCACTGCTCTATGGGTAGGTAAGACTCTTCTAGAATGCAAATTTTATTTCAAGTTTCATCTGGATCTTGAATCTTTGAGAAAGTGAAAAACGATGTCGTGATTCCAGTCTCCTAAACCGAGATCAACAGCAGTAATTTTCAAACTTATTATGAAACATAGTACCAAGCATTTTAGATCGCTTTAATGCCCGTAACAAGCCCGTTGGGGGTTCGTTGTGTAAATCTACTACTTCAAATTGCACCAATTTCTTTCGTATCACAAGTGTTCAGCAGCTTCTTTCAGAGAAGAGTAATTGAAAATCGTACAACTCTTACAGCAAGGTTATCAGTAGAATCCAATCTCTAAACGTCCAGTTTTCTCGCGAAAGAGAAGTGCAATATTCGTGTGACTTTCTTCCTAGCATTCTTCAAATAGGTCTGTTCAGTATATCCCGTAAATTTCAGCGACAGTAGAACAAACACACTTTCTTAATTTGAAAAATGTGAGGAAAGAAATCAAACGCTAGAACATCGGCGATCCGAGCACTAGAAAGACGGGTAGTGTAAAAATGAAAAGGAAACTCGCAAATGACTGTCTAGTGAATATAAAAGTAATAATTCATCGAGACATCACACAAATGTTTTATAAATCTCTATTATACATAACAAACAACTATAAGTGCAGATATTTCAAAAACCCGAGCATTCTATGACAGGGCCGCAGAAAAAGTTAGAAGATACGAAATTTGTTCAGCAAGAACAAACTGACCAAAACAAATAGATTAAGCATTGATTTTTTGAATACTAGCTTTTTAACATTATCTTTTCATCCAGTTATAAAAGTAGTACAACAAAATTCCACTGTCTACTGGCCTGTTGAAGTGAAGAACATGGTATGGCAATGAAGTTCGCTTGCTTATTTCGCTGAATTCGCTGAATTTCACGAAGGCAAGAAGGATAAGAGAAAGCAATCAGATTGTTCATGATCGAATCATTTGAGACGGAGGCACAAATCAAAATCAAGAGACAAGAAGTGCACGAATGTGAATGTTAGTTTCCCGCAACGGTAAGATCGTACAAAATAGTCATGGCAAGTGTTAACCTCTCGAAACTATTAAAAACATGAATCGAAATGGCTGTATGTTAACATCGTCTTGCAGAATTGTATTCTGGCATAGGGAATCATTATGCAACTTAAGTAAAAAAAATGCATTAAAGAACGTAATTCTTCAGTGCATGTTGTTCGTAGGAGTAAACAACAAATGCTCAGAAGGATCTCATAAGTAAGGCATATATTAATGAATATTAGGTAAACTTTTTCGATGAAGTCCTATTACATTCTAGTACATTAACTGAAAAATTGTACATGTACTCGAACACTCTACAAAACTAGCGACAGACACAACACAACAAGGAAGCTTGAAAAGGTGAAATATAACAGAACACATTGAAAAGATATGTTATCGAGCTGTGACTAGTTCAAGGAGACAAATATCAAACGTTATATTCAAAAAGGATCATGTATTGAAGCACCACGTTCTACAATACTGGTTGGAAAACTTAGTTGATAAGTAATTAAGACCAGGCTACCGTGAGAATTCGCTTATATAGATGCGTTCATTACGTTTTGGTGAGGATGCGTTTAAACTGTTCAATGTGTTTATGCCATCAAGATGGCTCGGTTCCGGTGTTAACCACTGGGAAAGGGCGTCCTGTCTTTTGCACTCATCGGCCAGATCTAACTCGACACGCTCCAGTAGCTAAAAAAGTGAGCACATCAGAACGTAACAAAACCTATGCAGTAATTTCTGTACGATTTCCTTTTTTGATACATTTCAGAGGAGGCTTATTTTTCAATAATAGACGATAATTTTTCTATGAATAGAGCAGTGTGTGACGTAAAAACTAAATAGACATATAGAAACGTTTCTGTTCTATCGCCTTGAGAGTAGAGTTCTGAAAAAAATCCTTTCCATTTCCAATAATGTTGAGTGATTCAATATGCCTGATAATCATTTCTTGAGCCACGCATGTCAGTGGTCTGCCAACGAGGGCTGACTCATAGAGCCCGATACACGTGTTTTGATCTTGCGATCTCGTCAGTCGGGCAGTTACCCTTTCTCGTCTTTTGCTAATCTCTGCTAACCCATAGAGTTTAGCAAAAGACGAGAAAAGGTAACCGCCCAACTGACAAGATCGCAAAATCGAAACACGTGTATCGTGCTCTATGAGTCAGTCCTCGTTGGCAGACCACTGACATGCGTGGCTCAAGAAATAATTATCAGGCATATTGAATCTTTGAGCTGTGGTCTTAAGAAAACACTCGAGTCGAAAGAAATGTTGAGTGATGTGCAAAACTAAGGATTTCGGACGGGATTCGAAATCGTATTGCACCCTTTCCGAAGCTCGTGCTAGCCACAGCGCTACCGACTCTTTGTTTTGCAATCGTTATTTCTTCGACACAGCTGTGTCAGTTTGCCAGTAACCAAGCGTCAACGGTTTGGCCTGGAAAGTCGATATAGCTACCAGTCACGGTGACAGATATTGGACATATACATAACCAACCATATTTCTTTTTGTTTGACGGTTTTTAGCGGTAACGTAGTGCTACATATATATATATATATATCTTTCCAATTTCGACCCAGAATTATCATGATTCAAGAAAGAAATAGAATGACGGGACATCGTGCAGTTTCTAGGGTATATGAGCGTTTGCTCGTTTTCGATATGCATATTCTGAGGTATGAACACGTGTTAACTTGTCTCTTTCTCCGGACAGAGCTTTCATGCTGAGGTATAACCCCACCTTCTATATGGGGGAATAGCTATGGTTATGATTACCTTCAGGTATGGTGAAGAGTACAAGCGGCTCAGTGGTTAGAGGTGTTCTGCGTCGCAGACAGGTCGATGGCTCGATCTCGCGCTCATGTGCTCACCAAGCTTCCCGCCCTCCGGTGTAGGTCAGTTGATACCAAACTTGCCTGGGAGATAAGCAGCACTGACTTTAATACACAATAGACCACCGTGAGTCATTGTAAAGGCCACATTTGCATCCTCTACCTCGAACGAAGATAAAAGTTGATGGCGATGTATACACCCCTCAGGAGTTGATCAACGCCGAGAGCTCTTTTTCCTTTATTTTTTATTCTTTATAGCTCTGCCATAGGAAAGACCATCTCAGTGCATCCTATGATTTGAAGTAAATTCGCAGCAAGAGAGTGTTTCTTCCGAGCTACGCGGCCTAGCACTTTGGGTACGGCACGCCCACGGCAACCAATCCCCCTCTCACGTGTCGGCAAGCAATGCGTAGTGGCGAGTGATTAGTAATGGCGGCTGTAGGAATGACGCTTTCTGCTCTGATCCCCTTCCGCGACGCTCCACAACACGTCTCCTGGGATCATTTTTTAGTGTTGACTAGTTTAAAGGCGCTCGTGCTGTTTCGATTTTTTATTACGATCTTTGCAACACTTTGTTCCCAACAAAAGATAAAACTGCTAATTGAAAATTTCTCCATCGACCTCCAGCTCTTAACTTCACGAACCACTTCCTAGTCGCCCTTTCTTCTTTCGTACTATCGTCCCATGCTTCAATAATCTTGCGCCTCACTAACAATTTCCCCTACGCGCCACTCGTGCATGAGTAGCAAGCGCATTTAAGGAGGCGGGAGGGGGGGGAGGGCGCAGGCGTAGAAAGTGACTTTGTTCCCACGACAGCTCCACTTCAAAGCATATACAAGTAGGTTGTATACTAAAACCTTGAAAGAAAATGCGCAACTGAACAATCATGCAATTTCATTGCAAAAATCATATTGAAAAACCAAAACGGTACGAATTTTTTACACGACCTATTACGTTCCGTATTGTAAAGTACTGAAATATTGAACAACTAATTACTAAACGCTTTTCTGCTACAACAATTTCGTTATTGAAGATCCTTCAGTACTAATCAGGGCCAACAAAAATAGCGAGAAAGTTAGCGTAAAGTATAGTGGTGGGTCCATACCACAAACCTTCCCACCGATGGGCGACATCACTAACCACTTGGTATTACGGACAGCCCGCAGCTATCAGTGAGATGAGCTATCGCCGTGTATCTGTCGTACCCAAAGTGCTAGAGAGTGTAAACAGAGAAGAATACCACACATACTTCTGCGCTACCGGCATGACATTTTACAGAAATTCAAACATCGTTTTTGGCAAACACTTCGTTATCCTATTTCTCAGTTGTTATGATTATTTTAGAATATAGTACTGAATGAGAGGATGTCAAACCTAAAAG